AGAGCTCAGGCAAGAAGTCTTTCTCCAAATCCAAATAATCCTTGGCTTTTTTAGTCCTTTCTATGTTTCTTCTTTGGTTTGCATTGCAGTATTTCCTGCATGTCTTTGCAGTGAGGCTTCTTTATTACCACTCACTGTACGTGTGCCAGATCCTTGTGCACCAAGGTCTTGTCATCCTCAGGATGCACACTGGTATTCAGCCAGGAAAAAAATTACTTACAATGGCTTTCGTTTTTCAGCCCTTATTGGAAACACAGTCTTCCTCATTCCCTCTCCATAAACCACATTTTACTTTCTTGGTGCCAGTAACATCTCACTTAAATTCTGGTTTTTATCAGAAGCTTTAGGAGGGGTTGAAGCTGCCTCTCCCTGTTCATTGATTCTGGCTGTAATGTGCTGTGCAGCCTTCTAGTGAAGGCTCCTTTCCAAACTGAAATGGGAGTGGTGAAACCAAAGACAAGCTCCTTAATTACTGAGATTCAATGCTGGCATCTCAGCCCTGTCTGTCTGCTGGGGTTGGAAGAAGAAGGAGATGGTATTTAGAGAGCCAGAAATTCAGGAACTAGTAATTCTCAAGCCTAGAGCTGAGTGTAACTTGCTGATGCCTGGCTGAAACTCTTGGCAGTTCACTTGGGCGATGCTGAAATGCTCCAGCAGCTCTGCTGGGGAATAAACAGAGCCAGACAGGTACAGGCTCTATAAATGGATCCCACCTGCAGAGCCCATCGGGCCTCCTGACACACGCACATCTCGCAGGCTGCTGCCATTTGCTCTATTGTACAGTCTCAGGGATAGTTAATGTTTGAAGATTAAATAGGCTTTTCAAGCAGGCTTTTTAACACCACGAGACAGTCCTTTCCAACAGCACTTCTTGCACATTTTGAATTTCTGATTTATTTTGTCTGTTTTTAATCTGATCCCTTGCTTCAGTCTCATTCGCAGAGTGCAAACTATGCTCTCATCCAGAGGGACTCCTTCCTTGGGATTATTTTGATAAATGTTTGTAGTTGGCTTCCTACCAATTTGAATTCCTAAAGGGAAAATTCTCCCCAGGAAATCTATTGATGTTCAAAGGATGGAGTCTGAAGGATCTGAAGATCCACATCTTAGCACTTTATCCTTCCAAGGATGAGAAACCAAGATTTTCTAATGGCAAGTCTCACCACACCTGCTGGGTATAAGTTTTGAGTTTTCCTTAGAAGGAACTGGCCACACAGGCTGAATCTTGTCTTTCTGATCTCATTTTTGTTTGCTTGCCTTCACACAATGACTGTGTTTTTGCAAAGAACTTGGGAATGAAAGTAATGAAAGTTACTGAGCACAGCAGTAATGGACAATCTAATTAAATGACTGATGATCAACTTACTTGTTATGTGCCTTAGTTTTGCTACTTGGAATAAGATATTTGAACTAAAATGGGTCCCATCCTACCTCTGTGATGGCAAACCTAGGCAAAACCCCATAATTTTAGTCTTAGGCAGTTCTGTTTAACTTACCATTATGGCATTTGCAGTAAGTTAGGCAACACCACATCTCTCAAATGAAAGAAAACGAAAGGAAGCAGCTGTATGTGGCTCTCTCAGGAGTGCTGGAGGCTGGAGAAACTAGGGACAAACAGCTACCATCTGTGCCATTTTGGAAGAGTGCAGAACAGCTTTTGAGTGCTGAGAATATGGGATTTTTTTTTTTGCCATTTGATGAGTTACTTCTGACTGTCATTAGTTTCAAGCCCACAAGGTGAGCAGGACCTTTTCACATGCTGCTCAGCTTATCTGAAGCTGTATGTTGTGCACCCGGAATAGACAGGGGTGATTTTTTAAAGCATGGCATGGAAACAGGGGGAGGTAAAGCTGAGAGGAAATCAATACCTGGGAAATTGCTTCAGGATCCTAACTCTGTCCTTTGTCAGTGAAGGATTGGCACTGAAATAAAAGCAACTGGCATGTGCTTCACCCAAGGACCCTAGGGAGGGTAGGTCTGCTTGGATGTGACTCCGAAATCCAGCTGTTCCACCTACAGTAGATACCTGTGGCAGCTCGTACCTGGCTGTAGATTCCACCAAGCTTGCACTGGTGTAGGCTCAGGTTTAGAGGGCAAAAAGAGAGTTACCCACTGCACACTGCTGATGTGATCTGTGGGAGATAATGAGTGTTACATACCTCTGGTTTGGGAGCCAGTGGATGCTGACAGCACTAGCTGTGGTAGGGAGGGAGGTTGGGGAAACTGGGAAAGTTCTAGGGACAAACCAAGAGATACTCTAAAGAGAAAAAGCTGTTCCTGTTGCAAAACAAGTTTCTCATCTGTTGTGCCAAATTATTATTGATACTACTCCTCAAATGAAGTTCCCATGAGGAATGCTGTCAAACAGCCAGAATGTTCAGCCTTCAAACATACTGATAGTCCCTGGGGAGCTCTGGGGCTGTGGGGAGCACAGAACTGCAGCCAGATCCCCCCTCCTGCACGTGCAGGGGACACCAGCTCTACATGTGTGACACCATCTCTACCTGTGTGCCACCAGCTCTGCCCTATTGAAAAAATGACCACGAGAGAGCTGCTACCTCAAATACACACTGCAACACAGAGGGATGCAAAGCTGGCTCCAAAGAAGTCTGCATCCTATCACAGTCCATAGCATCTTCATCCAGGGATGTTTGGAGCCAGGGCACTCGTGGTGGGGCTCGTGCTGGGGCTGAGCTGCTGGCAGCAGTGGGGATCACAGATGTTTCTGCTGCAGAAGCAGCTTCACCAGCCAGAGGGAGAGCTCATGGAGTCTGGTGGAGGAGCTCCCTTCTGGGTCCTGGGAAGACAGGAAGGTTTTGACTGCTGCTGGAACAGGAGATCCCAGGGACAGAAAAATTGCTCTATTTGCGCTATTTCAGAACTCCTAAGCTGGGTACACCCAACAGAGCCTGGAGGGCTTTTAGAAATTTCTGCTGCCTCCTGCAATTAATCTGAAGTCATAAAGAGAGCTTGGTGTTGTGAGTCTTGCTGTATCCAGCTGTGCATGACATGAACCCAACTCAGGCAGCACAAGGAAACCCCTGGGATGAGAGAGCTTTATTCAGCCTTCTCTGAAAGCAGCTTGCTTGAGATATGAACATGGATCACAGCCCTCCTAATCCAAGCTGGGCAGCAGGCAGCTATAAACAAGTCAGTTATAGACTGATTCTCCTTGATCCAAGAGATACTGCCTGGTATTGTACAGCAGCTCTGTGTAAGGCATGGGACCAGGTGGATGGAGAATGAGCTCAAAACTGCACTATAGGATAATACCTTGAAATAGCTCTTGACTGGTTTAACAGCACAGTCTGATTCATCTGTTCAGCCAGTGCAGCACCAAGACAGTGGAAGAAAAATAAGTCATGCTGAAAAATTAGTGCAACCAGTCTCACACATGAGAGAACACGAGCAGATTTTTTCAAAAAAGCAAACAAAATCCCTTTCCAGTTTTCAGAGAGCATGCAGCTGTGTGCACCAGGACAGGGATTTTGGAAAACCTGCTCTGTGCAACCCAGAAATCCCCTTCTCCAATGCCCACCAGTGGATGACACAGATGATATACTTGCCTGATTTGCATGGCAGATCCTCTCCCCATGAACAGGCTGGCACCATTTCCTTTCACAGTTGGAGGAAGGCAGTGGTTCTTGCTTCTCTTCGCACTGTTGTTCTGTTTCTGGATTCCACTAGACAGGCCCAGGTCAGATGCTCAGTTCTGGGCCAGATCAAGCTCCTGCTTTGGTCTGCTCAATCTTTTTTTGTGATTTCCCTGGCCTGATCTTGATTAGATACCAAAGGGAATGTGAGCCTTTGAGTACTCAAAAGCAGGGGGGAGCCCAAAGGCATCAGTGCACATCTGTCCAGGTACAGAGTGACTGTTGTTTAACACCAGAGTAACTTGGTGTTCTGAGCTCGCTCCAGCCTCTCCAGCTGTGGGATTACTCTTACTGGGAGCCCACGTTTTGGCAGAGGGATATTGCTTTGCTAAGAAATGAGCCATAATCACAGTGATTTCTCACCTCAGCAAGAAGCAGAGGGGCAATGGTAGAGAGTTAGACCAGCACTGGATGCTTCTGACCCCCTGCACACACAGGCACCCATGTGCACACCAGATGCTCATCCTTCCTACAGTCCCTCTCTGCCCCCAACAGCTGTGATGTGCTCTGGTGCAAGGTGAAGGTACTGGGCAGTGGGCAGGTATGAGTCAGCTGCTGAAACTCCTTCCCACCGTCGAGTCACGCAAGCCCTGAGATGGGAAGGGTCTGGGTCCCCATCAATTCTGGGCATTGTAAAGTCAGTATGAAAAATCTGGCAGGTGGAGCTCATGCTGACACCTCGTTTTTAGCTCCTCTGAACTGTCCTGGTCTTCTTGGCACCAAGGCTCTGTGTTCTTTTTAATGGGGCTTTCATAAACCTTGTTCCAGGAATGAAAACAGCTGCCAGTGCACGCAGCACCCCAGGGAAGACCCTTGCCTTTCTCCAGAGCACATGAACGGAGCAGGGCTCTCCGGCTGCTTTGTGTGCTTGATGTGAAGCTGTGATGTTTGCGAGGGACTGGAGCGTGAACTGCCCCGCTAATGCAGGTGTGAGTAACAAAGGAGAAGGAGGGAAAGGCTGATAATCAAAGAAAAATAGAATAGCAAAAAGACAAACCCTCCAGTTCATGCAGTGTGAGAAAGCATTAATGGTTAACTCACTCACTGTAGAGTAGAAGGAAAAAAACTGCAATTGCAAAGGGAAAGAGAAGTTTACCTTTCAAAGTGAATTTGTCATTCACTCTGCCAGATTATTGCTGTTTTTATTTGCTCTTCACTCTTTGAGGGATAAAGAGAAAGTGTGCAAATGACCCTCGATTACAGGCATGACCCTCTCCCTGCCACCTTCCTGCACACACACACACAGAAAGAGGATGCTAAACACAGCCTTTGAAATTCAGGAGGATAATTGATGCTCTGACGTGTGGAAGCCCACAGGACTCCTGAGGGAGCACAGGTATAAAAAGCAGAGATGCACCTCTCTGGCAGCCAGAGGACAGCTGGGGGGAGATCCGAGAGAGTCCTCCCTGCTCAGCACGACTCCGTGTCCTGCCCGGCACCGTGCGGGGCTCAGACCCAGAAGGATCAGAGGCAGCTCCAGAGGAGAAGTTGTGTTTGCAACAGGGGAAGGAACACCTGGGCAGGAGCTGATCTAGGAAGTGCTTGTTCTCTACGGGAACGGTAAGTGGGAGCCTCTCTCTGTGTTTAACAAGATGATGCCTATTTGGAAGTTGGAGACAATTAAATTGTACTGAAATGCAATCACAGCTGGCACCAGGAATTAGCTTTGCCATATACAACAGCCTTTGTACCGTACTAAGTTTTGTACCAAGATGTTTTTGTACCAAGTCATAGAAGGAAACAATAACTGAACTGCAGGATAAATGCAAATCAATAGAATTATACCACAGATGAGTTTTGTAAAAGCATATTAGATGTTTACCAGCTGTAGCACAGTTTTTCTCTTTTGCTATACTGATGTGAGTTGCTTTTACTCTGCAAATGAACAGTGTTTTACTCACCCAGCAATGAAACTGTGTTTGAGCCAAAGCCAAGTGTGAGGAGAAACACAACAGTGTGTTATAGGTAACGTGAAGCCAAACAACGAGGCAGAGGGAGGTACTGAAAAGGATTTCTGCTTTTCTACTGTAGGATTTCAGAGTATAAAAGTCTCAGCTTTATAAAACAGCAGGCATGGCAAAAGCCTCATTTCATCTACATAGGGGTGTTTTTCAGACAGCTCAGGTTAGGGTTTCAGAGATACCCATCTCTCCAACATCACTGTCACAATGCTGCTGTTCCTGCTGCACAGGATGGAATGAAGCTTTTATGCTTCATCTGCAGGAATGGTGCTAAAAGCTCATCATCTTAAGGGGAATTTATTTATTAATCATTTTTTCATGTGCTGCTAGAATGGAAAGTGAGCTGTCCTGTCCCTCACCTCAAGAGAATTTTGAAGGTAACAATGTTTTGCAGAGCTGTCAAGCTGCCTCCATGCAGGGTGACACTTCAGTTCCCCAGCTTCTCCTCTGAAACAGCAGACACTTCTGGGAAGGGGTGTAGGACTTTCATTTCAGATTTATTCCCAAGGGAAAAAGGGAGACAGACATACCCAAAAAGCTGAATGAGAAGCAGGTTGTAGCTAAAGGAGAGAAGGCAGAGCAAGACAGGGGAAAAAGGGCAAAGCCAGAGACAAACAAACAAAATTGCAAAGAAGCTATTAATAGAGAAAGAAAAAAAATACCCCAAAGGTTCAAAAAGTGATTCTGGAGAAAACCCCAACATTCAAAGAACGGAAACCAGAGACAGAAAGTGCTAATCAGGGCTGTATGCTAGGAAGAGCATTTGGGTGAGGTTTGCATTGACACTGGCACTGAACTTCTCAGCTCACACAGTAGCTTCCCTGGTACTGATTAAATCTCCTGGTTGGCACTTTCTCTAGATGCTGGTGCCACAGTCTCCTGGTACCCCCTGACAGATGCTTTAGATCATTTCCTCTATCCAGAAGGATCTGACTTGGGATTTGCCTTGAAGATACTCAGGGAGAAGCACAGAAAAGGCATGCTTTTTCAAGTTCAAATGAAAAAGGAAAAAAAAAAGGAAGCAGTAAATTTGCTCTAAAGGCAAAAGCCCTGTAAATCTCTCAAAGTCCCTTTTTCCCTTATTTTAAGTATTTCTTGGCTCTCTGAGGGGCCAAAGTGATTCTGTAATAGACCAGGAGTAGGAGATGCCATCCATGAGCACAAGAAGCTCTGCAGGAGTCAGGAGCTACTGTGGTGCTCCCAGGGGAACTGATGGGGAAGCTGCTGGTCCCTTGCTGGGAGCACAAGCAGCTGGAAACAGACTGGGCTGAGAATGAGTTTGTGGTAAGAAACCTCATTTCTTAGTGCAACACCTTTTCCCATGTCTGTGCATGGACTTCTGACACTGCCACTAATTCTATTATTAACTTCCACAGTGTTGAGATTGGACCCACTTAAAGTCCTTAATGAGTGTCCTCCTCTCTATGTTGATCTACTCTGAGCAGAAAAGCAGAGCTCACTGCTGATGTTCTCCATCAGAAAGACCCCTCCCTCAGGAAAACCCACTCCCTGGAAAGTTCACTTGGGCAGTCAGAAGCCCAACCAAACCCTTTCCATTTGGAAGCTGCTCCTTTTGCAAGGAAGTATTGTTATACCTTTGGAAGGGTTTTTTTACCCTTTTATGGAGATCAAACATCTTTCTGCTCTTTTCTTGTGTAAAGTAAGACGGGGAACAGGGAAACTTGGTATTTTAAAGGTTTCTATCCACATTCTTAAAGAATCTTTTTTGAGCAAAAGATCAATTGCTTTCTATCAAAACTCAGGAAGAGCAGCATTCACTGAAATACCTTTCTACTGTCCCTGGCTTCCAAGGACAAAAGCACAGCACTCAGCTCCCCGGGTGTGTGACCTCAGGTGACTCTGTCCTGAGTCATTCGCAGCTCTTCAGCCAACCCCAGGAATGAAGCACCACAGCCAGGGCTGCACACACGGCTCAGCCCATCCCACCTGCCACCACAGCCCGTGCTCAGAGCTGCGAAGGTGCCTCGAGGGTGGCAGTTCAGCCCCCCCCCCCCCCCCCCGGACATATTTCAGTCCAGTCCCCTCCCCACCCAAGCCTGACAATGTGTTTATTCGGCAAACCGAGCTCAGCACTTGCCTTGGATAAATGGCTTTGCCAGTATTACCCCTCTGCCCAGGAATTTTATCTGGGTTTCCCTGCTTCTCCCAGTCTCTGGCTGGAGGCAGCCTGGTCAGCTGTTAGGTGTGGACCTGTGCCACACAGGTAGAGCCGTGTGAGCAGACACACGTCCCTGGTGAGCGGAGGGCAGGAGAGGTCCCAGGGGCTGGCTGCAGATGGTCCTGTGCAGGCAGCGGTTCCTTTCTGGTCCCTGCTAACTGCTGCCCTCCATCCAGGTGCTTTTACAGCCCCTGCAGCAGCCCCTGGAGCTCACCCCAGCCCAAGAGATCTCTCCTTCAACTACAGCAGTGGGACAGGTCCATCGGGGGTCCCACAGTGTTAAACCCTTCTGCTCGGCCCTGCCTCCTGGCCCAAGGGAGACACAGCCACTGCCTCCAAGCACTGCACTCCCTGGGGAAGACTGCCAAGCCAAGAAACCTCAGCACTGGGAAACACCCCAACCACAAACAGAGGCAAATTTCCAGGCCCTTTGTGCCAAAAAGTGAGCAGGGGGACTGAGAACATAAAGGTGGTACTTGGCCTCCCCTCCTGGCCTGGAGCACCTCACTGCCCTCAGACTGCTCTGTGTTTTAGGTGACTCCAAGGGGTGGAAGATGCTGGATAAGGCCACTCTGCTCCTGTTCCTGCATTTAGTTGCATGCTCCATCTCCTCTCCTCTCTACCCAGCTTTCAGGTAAGTGCTCAGTGTTTTATCCACACTATCACTCCCTGCCTCATCCCTGACCTTGTGCAAAATAAGCACATGCCAAATTAAGGTTGCCAGCACTTCTGAAAGCCAGACGAACTCTAAATGTGTTGCTAGGCCTATTTCTTTGCCCTGTCTTAATTTTTTGGGTACACTGCTAGCCTAGGGGTGGTTTCCAAAGGGACAGGCACCTGATGGAATATTTTAGCCCAAACAGTTGGTTTTAGAATTGGATGCTGGGTTCTATAAAGGGAAATCTGGCAATCTCCAGAGCAGGCAGCACCACCAGCTCCACCACTGATTAAAATTTGTGGCTGCAGGGCACCTGCATTGAAGTCAGAACTGTTCTAGTACACGACCTCAACAGCTGCCTATTAATGTTTCAAGTATTTCCTTGTCACCTCTTAGAAGTTGTAATATTTCTTTCCACCCCTACAAATCAACAGAAGCACAAAATCAAGCATTGGTTTCTCCAGTGTGGATTTGACACATCCCACAGAAGATGGTTTGGCCTTGTGCCAAGGCCCTGGCACAATGATACCACAATCACTGGAATTTTGCTCAAGGATGCTGGGAGCTCAGCGAGGGGGAAGTGAGTTAGAGGCAGCGCTATCAATCATCTTTCCACTGCTGAAAGAGCTTCAGGGCAGTTTCTAGCTGGAGAGAGTGATGGACAATACTTGCATCAGTGATAAGATGGGATGGCAAAAGGAGAAAGAAAAAAGCAGGAGAACAGAGAATAATGGTCAAGAAGACTGAGCCCCAACTGGCAACTGAGCACACCTCACAGTATGCCTGGGGTTTGTCTTGCAGGTACAGTCCAGGGCCAGTTGCTGGCAAGGCCACGAGCTTCCAGCTCCAGCACAGCAGCCCACTGCAGAGCCAGAACCCCTCAGCAGAGGAGCAGGAGGAGGAGGGTTTGTTAGCAGACCCCACTGGGAAAAGGTTTGTACCTCACCTATCAGTCCTGCTGTTGTGGAGTGTGCTGGTTACAACCTCCCCCAGCCCAGGAGCAGACCAGCAGGTCAGTCAGTCCCAGGTCAGTCAGTCCCAGCGGCACCACACAGTGCACAGGGGACTCGTCCTTACAGCAGTGGGACCAGTCAAGTGGCTCGTGCTTCCCCTACTGTGGATTTTCTGGAGTCTGGGTCTAACCACAGGCTAGAGACCTGCTGGAAGATCCTGTCATCCTGTCCCAGACACCATCCTCCCAGGAGATGACAGTGCTGCTGCAGAGCATGGGAATGTCCCAGCCCAGCTCTGCCCTCTCCCAGCCTGTGGTTCTCCTCCTCCTTTCCACTGGTTCTTTGACCTCACCTTTGGTTTGCAGGCACTCCTCCTTACTTGTTTTAGTGTGGACTCTGATTACCAGACATTTTATTTTGCCTGCTGCCTCCATGCCAGGACTGAGCTCCCTCAAATCCTGTTACCCCACAACACTAGCACAGTCCAACACCAAAAGGTGTTTGCTGTGGTTACCTGCCCCTGCTATCAGCACTGTTACCCCCAGTGTGTTATTTCTCACCTGGAGGGTTCACTGCTAGCTCAGAGAGCACACTGTGCCTGCCTTTCCCCCCCAGGGTGCAGCGCCATGCCGATGCCATATTCACCGACAACTACCGGAAATTCCTGGGGCAGATTTCCGCCCGCAAATTCCTACAGACCATCATTGGCAAACGGCTCGGGTAAGCCCAGCATCCTGCTGGCCCAGGGCCAGTGGTTTGTTTATTACACGGGGCAGTTTCTTTCATGCATGTAGCAGGAATAGCTGCCTTCCACTGCGAGAGAAACAATCTCTCCTGCTCTTCCACATCCTGAAGGGCATCCTGCATCCTTACATCTTGGATCCCTCCTAATCACAGCTGTCATTAAGCAGCCTAATTAATCCTTTCCTCCAAGGTTGTAAGCATCAGATCAGCTGGGAGTTCTACTGTAATATCAACAAGTAATAATATTTGCAAATAATAGTTGCAATGATCATTCACTGGTAGGAAACAGTTATCCCTGGCCTGGTTTCAACACAGAAGGCAGCCTCTCCAGTACCTCTGGCTGGATGGATCACTGACTGCCACTAAGACCAACTGGTCAGATATGAACCAGCTCCAATCCATCTTCTAACAGAGGAGCAAACACAGTGACCAATCCTTACTGAAATGAAGCAGAATGGCCCTAGGGTCAGACCCAGCAGGTTCCCTTGCTGTGCTGCTCAGCCTGAGCCAAACTCGGAGCAAGGCACAAAAAAGCATCTCTGAAACAAAGATGTTTCTCATCTTCACCTAACAGAAGCAGCGGGAGCAGCCCAGGAGAGGGGGTGCAGGAGTTCCTGACAAGGCGCCAGTCTGGCAGCATCCTGATGGACAGCAGCTTCCAGCACCACATGGTCCTGAGGGACTTCCTGGGAGCCATCCTGCAGAACCAGAGGTAGGTGGGAATCAGTCCATTATCAGCTCACTGCAGGAATACGACAAGGTCCTTATTGCTGCCTGGATTCCAGATGTGGAGCTACTGGATTAAGTATCATTTCAGGGACAGTCAGGGAAAGAATAAACCTCTTACCTGAGCCCAAGCAGGGTGCAGATAAGGAGCAGCCTGTGCTGAGCCAGCCCACACCACACACAGTGGTCTTCTCAACCTCATCATGCCGTAAAGCAGCAGTGGAAAAATAATTTCTCTCTTGATCCCAATTACACCATCCCTGTCCTCTTCCTTGACAGGCCTCAGGACATGGACAGCAGTCGGTTAGAAGGCTTTCCCAGCACCCTGGCTAAGCTCATGTAAATACTTCTGCCTTTTCCATCTCCCCACGCTCTGGTGAGTAGCATTCTCTGCTCCATCCTGCACATACACACTGCTGCACTGCTCAAGGTTTGCAGGCTCTCCTTCAGTGACACCAGCCCCCACTGCTGTCCATGAAAAAAGGTGCAATTTCAGGGGAAAAAACTCCCAATCAATTTTGTCAAGTACCTTCACAAGTGCTGTGAAGCTGCATATGGATGCCTGGGAACAGGCTTGCAGCAACCCAAAGCAGCCTTGTAAATCTGAGACAGTGTGCCTGAATGTCTAAGCCAGGCCTAAGGCAGATAAAAATCTCCCAGGAGCAACACCTGCCTCTAGATACTTGGGACATTTCAGGTTTTGGTTACTTTTCCACAAATAAAGTAATTCAGGAAAAGCCTCCAAAGGATGAAAAAACTTCTGTACGTCCTCACAAAGTTTTCTCATAATTCTCTTTTCCTCCTCCTTCTGTCTAGAATAATTCAGAGCTCGTGGACCTGATGTACAGTGAGCCCTTCACAGCAGGGAAGACATTGCCAGATGTGAGCTGCAAACTGATGCATACACTCCTCAGACGTGATCAAAGGAATGCAGTGCTGATGCACTACTTAATTTCCTTCAGTCTTTACAGTTTAACTCCCCTCTCTAAATACTGCTCCGTACTGAATCAGAAAAACCCACCTCTGTGGTTTAACCTCAGGCTGCTTTACACACAGACTAAAACAACCCATACACTTGTAATCCTGGGGACATTCTATCTACTAATTAAGGCTTTCAAATCACAAAGTGTAGCAAAATTTCTGCCAAGTCATCATTCTGTTTGAGGGCCTGATTAACAAACATGAGGCCACCAAAAGGCACCTTTAGGCAACTTAGTAAATTGATTACAGGCTTCTCTAAATACATGCTGATGGCACAACCACACACAGAGCTCGGATCAGAGCGAGGTGAGACATGAATCCACACGTCTCCCACCCATCAGAAACACTGCTGTGGGCTGCTGCTGCCTCACTCCCTGACACAGAGCCCTGGCAGCAAAACTGAGCTCTAAAAACCTCAGCTATGGTTAATGCTCAGCCTTGAGGTGTTCAAACCAAAGCTACAGCTCTGTGAGAGTTCAAGGAGATCCCTGTGCATCAGATTGGGCTGTCACTATGTTTTAACTCAACGTCCTGTTGAGTGCCACCCCATGGCTCTGAACTCCACTGTGACTAGATATGACTGTAAATGTTTTCAAAGGAGTAACTTATTTACCCAGTGATGTCAAACAGCTACTTCCCCCCTGTCACCCCAATTCTCCTATTGTTTGTGTAAGAATTATGTCTTCAGAAATGTAAATAACATCAGGATGGGGTCTGCTTTCCCTCCATTAGCAGGAAATAAAAGTTGTTCTAAATAAACCTGTCCAACAGCAGGTCAAGATGCTCTTTTGTTGAGAAGTTAGTTTCTTGATTTTGGGCCCAGAATGGAAGATGCTTCTCAAAGACAGTGGTCAAGTGCACTGAGGGTGACTCAGAGCTGGGCTAACAAAGGCAGGAGCTCCAATACCATTAACACCACCAGGCTGGAAATACAGTGACATGCACACGTGCATTAAGGCCTCTGAAATCATTCCTCCTTGCACTCAAGCAATTCCCTGACAGTCTGCAGTAGGTACCATCTCATTTTTCCTCAGGTGACTGTGTTTTAGGACAGCAAGCTCCAGTATGTTTGAAGATTAGTTCATACTTGCACCAAATCCGTACCCATTACATCCTTCCTGCTCAGGTTTTAAATTCTGTTAAGTGGCATAAAAGCCATTTGCAAACACCGGATTGGATGCTCCCAATAAAATCAAAAGACCTGTCAAAAACATTTCAGAAAGTGTTTGTGTGATTAAACAGCTGGGTGAGTGCAGCTATTTTGAATAAAAGATACTGCTTTGAAAGTTAAGTTTGCATCAAAATGAGGAAACAAATGCTCAAACTCTGGGATATTAAATATAAAACCAAATAAAGCAAAACAGAAAATATGTGAGAAATAGAAGGTCAAATTAATAAAAATTACCTTTCCTACTGCATACCCAAGGAAGTAGAAAATCAAAAGCAACACACACAGCTTAGAGAAGATACATCACCGAGGCACTCCATGGTTTCATTTCTGCATCTGTGCTCTCCTTGGATAACGTGCCAGAGTTCTACAGGCACAGGGAAAGTCCTGTCCTAGCATGAAGCATCAGAAGAAAGTTATAAAACAAAGCTGCTAAGTGAGCAGCAACAAAACAGGAGGCTCAAAAAACTCACCACGATGAGAAGGAATTCCAGGATAAACTACTGTGAATAGTAGCTTAGTTATTTCTTGCCTAAAGCTCCTTTAGTCCCAGAGGACTTGGATGCAGCCTGAGACTGGTGTTTGGAGGAGTGCAGAGGAGGTCAGAGAAATTCATTAAACCTCTGTGGGTTCAGTGTAACATTCACACAGAACAGGTAGGAACTGCTACAAAGAGCAGGAACAGTGAGCTAAGTGTGAGTAACCACAGTGGGGAAGAGAAAAAGTGGATTTTATAAAATGGAGTCATGTCACACACGTGAAGTGCTTTGGAGGATTCAGCTCCACGCCCTTTATCCACATGCCTTCTTGCTGATATGTTTCCTGGAAATTTGATAAAGTTCCTTTGCCAAAAGGCCTTTAAAGAAGCTACTCTGACACGGGATGAAACACAGGGATGCAGGGAAGGGAGTAATTGTTATGTTTCCCATGTGGAAGTTGCTCATTAGGAGGAGATTTTGGCCTTTGGTTATTACTACCAGTGGGTTCTTCAATAAAGCCCAGATCTGCTGCCTCAACATGCTTGGTGGTCCTGAAGGGAGTAACTCGTTGGGAAGTTAGAGCTCGAGTAATTCAAATGTGGCCACGTGGCAACCAGCACATTCCTGGCTTTTGGTTTCACAGAAGACCAGAAGCAACAACGTCCATCAAACTCTTACTTGGAGTGAAACAGTGGCTCCAGAGGCTGGAAAGAAAGTGAACCCTCCCAAGGGACCCCCAAACCTGCCGGGTCAGACACAGGCACTCCAGCACCACAGCTGGCTCTCTCCAAGGGCTCCTCCTGCCTGACCCCCAGGGCCCAGAGCAGCTCAGCACAGCCTGGAGTGGGAGAGAACAGCCATGAGTGGAGAAAGGCAGCCCACAGCCTCACACAGGGGACAGGCAGGAGCGGGAAGTCCCCCCCAATAAACACGTCCCTCTGGGAAAGCACATGAAAGAACAGGAAGCGTCACACACAGCAGTGACTCACACACATATTACCCACCAGAAAAAGCTCTTTTCATTCCCATGTGAGCCCAGCTTCCAATCACCGCCTCCGACACAGCCAAAACACAACATTCAGGACCATTCTTTCCTCTTTATTCACAAATCTTTAGGATGAGGAAAGGGTATCTGGGGAAAGGCAGAACTGTATTTTCTTCTTCCTCTTTCTCGAAAGGAAATTCAAATGTCCTGGGAGAAAAAAAAGGGGAAGGATCCAGGGAAAAAAAGATTTTCCAGATTCATATGAAGAGCACTCCAGTAGCAGGAACACAGTGATGAAAATCAAGATATTTAAAAAAGTTTAACTGGCACCCTTTTGACTCAATATATATATACATATAAAAAAAATCATCTTCTGCCTTCCTTCTTTTGGTCTTTCAGTTATTTATTCACTTCTGTTCTGAAGGCGTTTGCTTTGTTTTTCCACATTTCTTCCATTCTTCTGGTACTACTGTGTCCTGGAAAGAAAAACCCCAAAAATTAACTCTTCCAGGCAACAAAGCACCTCCTTGCACAACAAAAGTGTCCCCAAACCCCTCATCTTCTCTCAAAGAAAGCTTGTCAGACAAGCTTCCCAAAAGCAGCTTATTGGAGTGACAAAACCAGTACTGTAAGGGAATGGGGGATGGAATACAAGGAAGATGGAAATGGTCAGAAAAAATGAACGTTAATTCCTGGTGCAAAAGGGATGAACAAGCCTTTTAAATTGCAGAACTGAACAAAAAAACCCAGGCTGAATACAAAGCCTGGAGGTACCTCAACTTCTACTTTTAACAGGGCCAATCCACCTGCTGGGAATCATTGGTCCACGTAAACACAAAGATCTTCATGTCCCCAAGAAGGTGAAGTAGTCTAATTTAGCACAGCAGATCCAACTTTTTGGGATTCTTTTGCCAGACACAAGCATAGCTCTTGACAGTCCATCCCTAGGAGCTGGTAACAATACACTCTTAACTCATGTGTCTGGGGTATTAGAAAACCCAGCAATGAGAAAAATGCTTGTGACTGCACACGGCAGCAAAACCTAACTTAAGGTTTGTGGATAACAAGATCCTAGGGCCACAAAGATGCTCCAAGGGCTGGAGCACCTCTGCTCTGAGGAAAGGCTGAGAGATGGGGGTCGCTCAGCCTGGAAAAGAGAAGGCCCAGGGAAGAACTCACTGCAGCCATGCAGGACTTGAAGGGGGCTTAGAAAAAGGAGTGAAAGAGATGTTTTATAGGGGCAGATAGCAACACCACTAGGGGCAATGGTTTTAAACTGAAGGAAGGAAGGTTTAGATTAGATCTTTACTCAGAGGGTGGGGAGGCCCTGGCACAGGTTGCCCCGAGAAAGCTGTGGCTGCCCCATCCCTGGAATTGTCCAGGGCCAGGTTGGAAGGGGCTTGGAGCAACCTGGGATAGAGGAAGGTGTCCTTGCCCATGGCAGGGGGTGGAACTGGTTGATCTTTAAGGTCCCTTCCAGCCTAAGCCATTTTGTGATTCTGTGATCTTCCAGGATTACTCACAGCCCCTGGTGGGGCTGAGACACAGAAAACATGCAGGCTGTGGAGAACACACTGGTGAGGCACTTGGTAACACACTACTAAAAAGCTGAAAAACACAGGCCCAAAACAATGTTAAAAAGAAGCATCCAGGGACCTGAACAGCACCACCAAACACAGTCAGGATGCAAACCCAGCATTTGTTTAGTAGGACAAGTAACAGCCATCTCCAGTTCCTCTCCAGTAACTTGCTGTAGCTTGTTCTGTGCTCAAATACCTCAAAACACTCCAGGGAGAGAAGAGACATTAACAGGGTGTTTTTCTGAGGGACATGATGCCGGATTCTTCACGTGTAAATTCCATGAAACCATCCTCCACACTCCCTGATCTGCACACAGCTGCTGCCCCCACAGTGCACACCGTTTGTGTGGCACACACTCCCACGCTGGTTTTGTTTTGCACCAAAAAACCTGAGCTCCATTCAATGCAGTGTGTGTGTGTGCCTGGAGCACTGACCACAGATGTGAGAGAAAGCAAATCCTCAGGAGATGCACCAGTGCAGCATGTTGTGCACTGATTTGTCCCATCACAGGAGCCATCCCAGATGCTCTCCCTCTTCCCCACAACAAACCAGTGCACTGAACAGGGAATGAAGCCCCCATGCACACACACTCAGAACTGGGTAGCATGCAGAATGCCAGCAGTCCTGCCTCCTACACCACTGTGGACAGAGCAAACTGGGACCTTACCTCTTGGAACGAAAGGAAATGAAGGGCTTTGAGCTGGTAAATGATCATGGAGACCTATCACACAACTGTATGGAATGGAGGAGGCTGGGAGCTGCTGCTGCCTGAGCCATCATGGCCAGTTCACTCTAATGGGAGGGTGACCCCGGGACTGGGTCGTGTTCTCAGCTGAACGAGGTGGTGCTGACCTGGCTTTGCTGCAGAGCTCTCACCACCCAAAGCAAGGGTGTAATTCAGCAGGCAGAGTGCCTGGCAGCTGAAGAACCAGAATACTGTGGATGGGAATAGGCAGTACCAGCAGCAGGATGATGAAACAGCCATTTCCATCACGTCCTCCTCCAGCCAACATTACCAGTAATTTATTTATGGGAACGATAATACTATTTAAACTAGTTTTATTTCATCACCTGAGAGCTGCTTGGTGCTCAGGACAGCTATATTTACATGTGCACATATCACCATGCAGATTTCAGACAATTAAGGAAATCACACAAATGCAATTTAGTCTCAGAGAACACGTCCTGCTAATATGCCAACCCAGCTGCAGCCAAGGACCAAAGGCCAGTAAGCGATGTTGGGAGGAAGCAGCTTCAGTTCACATATCTTTTTGCAAAAGGAGTGAGTGATGAGGTGAAATGAAACAGGCAGCATGCCCAGGAAAGGCAAAATCCAAAAAGGCCCTTACTTCCTGAAGAGCTGGTCACTAGCAAACCCCCTTTTACCGCAGCGTTCTATACTTTGCCAACCTACTGCTCTGCTCTGCAGCGATCCTGCCAAAAGGAGAGAGGGAGAGAGGTTCAGAGAAGACAGGAAGGAGGAAGGCAGCCCTGCTCCAGGAATCAGAGCCAGCGACAGAAATGCAAAAAGCAAAACCAGGCCTTCTGGTAACTTCTGTAACAAGATGGTTTATACAGTCCCCCTCCCTTCCCACGCCCACCAGTCGCCTCCACAGCTTTGCCTCAACGTGCAATCCAGTTAATTGTCACTGCACCTCAGCCTCTGAGACAGGCAGGCAGAGCCTTAACAAGAAGATGTCTTTTTGAACTTTAAAGTCATGTACAAAAGGTTTCACTTTAGCCTCAGGTAGAAGTTTTACTTTCAAATTTGCCATTGTAGTTGCAGCTTCGTGTCATTTACAGCGAAAAAGCAAACGGACACCCCCTGCAGTGGTTTGAAGCAGGTACCAACCAGCTGCATTTATGTGCTAACA